TCCTCCAGTGAAAAAGTCCATCTCCTGTTGTCCTCCCACATCAAAATCCACCAACATATTTGTTTAGAGCTGTTTTGGACTCTTCTCACATGTAAATAGTGCTTGGTCTGTTCAGACGAGATGACTTTTTTACTGGAGGAAGCAATATTAGATAGATACATAGATAGATAGATAGATAGATAGATATAGGACTCATATTTTAGCTGGAAGCAACCGTTAAAACACCTTAATGATGGATTTGTTTCTTACAAACACACTGCTTTTCACTTTACAAGACATGATGGACTGGAGAGGTGTGGATTACTTGTGGATTATTGTGATGTTTTTAACAGCTGTTTGTACTCTCATTCTGACGGCACCCATTCACTGCAGAGCATCCATTGGTGAGCAGGTGATGTAATGCTACATTTCTCCAAATCTGATGAAGAAACAAACTCATCTACATCTTGGATGACCTGAAGGTGAGTAATTTCAGCAAATTTTCATTTTTGAATTAACTATTTCTTTAAACATAGATAGGGAACAGAATTAGATTAAGATTCACTGGGACACTTTTTGACACATCCAGAATTCACCCAAATTCTTTGGTCATCTATACTTGTGGCGTCACAAAAACGTAATGCAATGTCACTCTGAAATGTAAAAGACTTTACTGATGAGTTAAGAGGACATGTTAATAATTTCCTTACCGATAGTGGGGTCATGATCCTCTGGAAATCTGTGACTTATAAACTGCATGATTATGGCTGTGAGACAAAGAGAACAAGACAAGCAGAGTTCTTACATAATTGTGGTACCATGAAATTCAATGAGAAGAGTGTAAACATCTCCCCCTTCTCCCTCATGTGCAGCAAACACACCCTGCTGTCGGCATGTATTTGCTCTGTATGCGCTCTCTGCTCTGTTCCCATGGAGACAGTGATATAAAGAAAGAATATCAGTCACCCTAAAGAACCTTCTGCAGTGCACTCGAACAATGAGATCCTCACCAGGTGACCTCCGTTCATCTCCTAGGCAACAGACTCCTGGAGGGGAAGGAAGTTGCTAGACACCTGCGCCTTCGTAACGACCAGACTGAAGCACTGAGCCAACACCCACATTTTTATTGTCTGCCCGCCTGTGACTGTACGTCTAAGGCTGTGAAACCAGGCCACTGTCTGACCACAATAAAGGGCTACAGTGAAAGAAAACCACTCAAATCTGGTACAAGGGTCAATCGCACAAAATTATTTCATGCCAAAATCAAAGAAAGAAATTTAGGAATTTAAATTTTAGTTGAAGGAAAATCTATTTAAAGAGACAGTTCCCCCAATAATGAAAATTTTGTCATCATTTACTCGCCCTCAAGAATTTTAACTCTGCGCGCTGAAAAGACCGAACACGCAAGTGACCTTCATCCACCACTGGATACCTTCCTTGGGCCAGTGTGTGTGGACCTTACAATACCATCCAATAAACGATTCATCCATGTCTGTGTTAAAACCTTGTAGTGAACAATGAAAATTAAATAATTAGATCTTCTGTTGACAATAACAGATGCTGACTTGGGAATGGGAACCAATAAAACCAAGAAAGCAACATCAGCAGCAGAGAGAAGTAACAGAGAAAAAGAGAGAGAGAGAGAGAGAGAGAGAACTACGTTACTCACCACTTTTGCCCACACCTCCCTCTCCTAACATCACCAATTTGTACTCGCGGGAGTAACCCCCTGTGCTCCGCGAGGATTCCATCCGAATAACTGAAACAAGACACAAGCAAAAACCTGTTCAAAATAGTTTTAAAAACTTGAAGTTAAAAAGTTTAAGTGAAAGAATGATAGACAGACAGACAGACTGACTGATTGACGGACGGACGAACGGATGGATGGATAAATGAGCAGACAGACAGATGGACAGACAGATGGAGAGTTAGACAGATAGACAGATAGATAGACAGACAAACAGACAGACATACAGATAGACAGATAGATAGACAAACAGACAGATAGATAGACAGATAGATAGACAAACAGACAGATAGATAGATAGATAGACAGACAGACTGACTGATTGACGGACGGACGAACGGACGGACGGACGGATGGATGGATGGATAAATGAGCAGACAGACAGATGGACAGACAGATGGAGAGTTAGACAGATAGATAGACAGACAAACAGACAGACAGATAGACAGATAGATAGACAGACAAACAGACAGACAGATAGATAG